CCCCGGATGGCGCTCAAACTTTCGGCACAGCAAAACCCTGGAGACAGTCTAGGGAGCAGTTTTTTTGCCCGGTGTCTTGGTGTGGAGGGAGGGGGACGCCTGGGTCTCCAAAATGGCATCGGGAGACTCTGGCATCCCAGGCTCCAGACTTCCTGGGGTCTGAGAGTCGGATTCTTGCAAGCTTTTGCTTCCATCAACTTCTTTCATTTGCTAGCTCGGCCCTCCCTTCCTCTTGAGCCTCCGGAGTCCCCACCGGGTCCCGGGGCTTACCAGCCTCACCTTGCATCCATCCCAGATTCCTGAGGGACTCCCTCCTTTGAGGGACCGCCTAGTATCCGGGTAGTGGGCTGCTCCATGGGGATCAGGCTAGTGGTGCGGAAGAGTTGCGGCTGCTTTTGGCGGATGCTCTGGGTCCTCAAGGATTGTCCAGTCATCTTTTCTGGCACCAAAGACCCCAACCCTCCCCGCTCCAGCTCCCTGCCGGGCCTGTAGGGGGTTGTTTGCTGAGTCAGGCTGGGGAGCAAACCTGCCTGAATGACCTCCACCCCTTCCTCACAAACCACCTTTGGAGTGGCCACTCTTTAGGGGAGACAAGGGAACAGATGCCCTCTAAGGTGGGTAGGCTTCTTTCCATCCTTGAAGCCCCTTCCAACTCCCAATTCCCCATCAACATTGTATACAGGGTCCCAGAATAGGCACCCGTTCCCGTATCCCGTCTCCCCCGCCCCCTACCCAGGAAGTCCCTGGACTCAGGGGCCCAACCCAGGGGAGTGAGTCAATGTGGGGTCAGCGTGAAGGGCTAGATAACTTTCCTACAGCAACAATGTTGCTGTGCGAGGGAGCAGGGGCGGGGGCTGTAATCGGATCTTGGGCCTCAATGCCAGGCCTAGGGGCCAGGAGAGAGGGCTGGGTGAGGTGCATCTTTCCGGGGAGCATCAGGTATCCGCTGGGGCCAGGGCAGGGCTAGGGTGGCGGTGGAGAGGTGAGGACATTGGGCCCAGTGCTCCAGAGAGCTGTGGGAAGCAGGGTGGACAGGCCTTTTCCTCTCTGTTTGATAATGTCCTGTGGTGGGACCTGGGAGAATTGCTAGGACGCTCTGAGCCCCAGTTCCTCGTTACCAATGGAGGAGTTAACCCCTACATTTGAAAATGTGACCAAAACGTGCTAGAAATGCAGCAAAGTGGTGTGTGTGTGTGTGTGTGTGTGTGTGTGTGTGTAAGATCCACCATGGATGATGAACTCTGTGCACCCTAAACAAAGAAGGGAATCCTGATTCAGCTTTCCAATGCTGACAGTGTGGGGACTGCTGGCTGCATCACCAGAGGAGGTCTGGGGAACAGGCCACCTGTCCCCTCCTGTGGCACGGGCCTGCCCCCTGACTGCCTTGGATTTCCAGGCAGTCCAGTCTTCAGAATCTCTTGAGAGAAGTGACCTCCATTGCCCGGGGTGGCTGAGTCCCCTCCCCACCGGCCCTCTCTCCTTTAGAGATATCTGGCACTCAGTGTCTGCTTACTGGAGGCTCCCGTGGCCCAGATGAGGCGGGCTGAGATCCAAGTGATACCCAGCTGCCCACACCGTCCCGGGTGTGCAATGAACTGACCTCAAGAACTCAGCCTGAGAGACACTGCTTCCTTCCTGGGGCTTAGCACCCACCGTGGGGGTCAGGAGTTCCCAGTGACTTAGCAAGAGTGGCTGTCCCCATGTTGTTGCTCCTCTGTAGAGAGGGGATAAATATCAATATAAGTCTATTGTCTGGCACAATGATGACTCCATTTCACAGATGGGGAAGCTAGGGGTGAGGGATGGGAAGGGGAGGACACTTTTCCCCAAACACCCAGTATTTCTCTCCCTGCTGTTTCCCCACCCCTACTTTAGACAACATGGGCTGGCTGGGGACAGCCAGATCTTTAGCCTGTTCTCCCCACTCCGAGTCCTTGGGTCCCCTACCCTAATACTGCCAGTGGGACCTATACCTCGCTACTTCATATTATCATCCACAGTATCAAAACCGAGCCCAGAGTGCTAATTCAACAACAACAACAAAAACTTCATATTATCATCCACAGTATCAAAACCGAGCCCAGAGTGCTAATTCGACAACAACAACAATTTTTTTTTTTTTTCCCAGACAGGGTTTCTCTGAGTTTTTCTGGCTGTCCTGGAACTCTCTCTGTAGACCAGGCTGGCCTTGAACTCACAGAGATCCACTTGTCTCTGCTTCAAGTGTGCTGGGATTCAAGAGTGCTGGGATCAGAGTGTGCACCACCACCCGCTGGCTCAACACATTCTTTTGGTAACACTGGCTGTTAAAAGCTGGCTCCTGTGTTGAACTGAATGGGTTCAAACACAGACTCCAAGTACTTATAAGTTGTGTGATCCCAGGCCTTGTCACCTCTCTGTCCCTCCATAAAATCGATGTAGGCCCAACCTGGAAGAGATGGTTTGAGGATTTAGGAAGTAATTCAAAAGCTCTGAGCAGTACCTCATTCTTCTAAGTGCTGGTAAAATGCAGTAGCTCCTGATTCCGCACTGGTGGCTAGGCACTAGGAAGAAAGTGGTGTCTTCCAGGCCAAGTTCCTGTGGTCAGTTCATTGTACACAAAGGCATTATTAAACAACCAGACCAAGAACAGAAGCCAGGAAGCCCTTGAATGCCTTTGAGCTTGGGCTGTGAGAGGGTGTGCTAAAGGTATGTTCAGGAAGGCTCCCCGGAGGAGGCAAAGGACCCAGAAGTCTGGGAGGTGCTTAGGAGAACTGACCCTGTAAGTACAATTCCATCGGCAACCCCAGATCCTCGTGGGTGTCTACTAGCCCTGTTGGGAGAAGCGGTAGCTGAAGCAGTTCTGGTTTGGGGGGAGTATCTGTGGCTCAACCTCCATGGGCTTCCTCCCTGGCACA